CTCCGTCGTATTGGGAGAAAACGTTGAGAGATCTACAGGCTATGATAAGACAGTTAGGGACCCCTACATTTTTTTGCACGTTCAGTGCCGCCGAAATGAGATGGCCTGAAGTAATAACAGCAATCAAGGCCCAGCAAGGTGAACACGTCGACTTTTCCGAGCTTGACTGGACGACCAAGTGCGAAATCCTCCGAAGCAACCCAGTCACTGTCATGCGTATGTTTGAGAAAGGGTGGATGCGCTAATGACTCATCTGCTTTTGTCGCCTGCCCAACCCATTGGTAAAGTTGAGGACTACTTTTACCGAGTGGAGTTTCAAGCTAGAGGAAGCCCACATATCCATCTTCTTGTTTGGATAAAGGACGCTCCCGAGTTTGAAAATGACTCTGATAAGGATGTCTGCGACTTTATTGACCGCTACATAACCTGCCAGTTGCCCGATTCCTCGGCTGATCCTGAGCTTCATCGGATCGTCACAGAGGTCCAGCTTCACAGCAGGAACCACTCAAAGTCCTGTAAGAAGGGAAATGTATTGTGTCGCTTTGGGTTCCCCAAACTACCGGTGTCTAGCACCACGATCACTCGTCCGCGACCACAGCGTCCTGAAGAAGAGGATGACACGGACACTTCTCCATCTGGAAGCTGCATGTTTGCGTCTAAAGCCGCACAACCACAACGTCCTGAAGAAGAGCGTGGGAAAGCCCAGGAGCAAGAAGAACGACGGAAGTTGAGACGGGAGGCTGCTCAAAAGGCAATGAGCGAAGCTAGGTCAAAACTCAAGCCGGTGTGGGATCTGTTGAACGACCCCCAAGCCTCCTTTGACAGCTTGTCAGCGCTACTGACCGAGTGTAATTTGTCCATCAAGGACTACAACGAGAACGTCGAAGCATTGTCCAATGCCAACGTGATTCTGCTGAAGCGTGATCCAAAGGAGTCCTGGGTGAACGGATACAATCCCGATTTGTTGAGGGCATGGAATGCTAATATGGACATTCAGTTCGTTCTAGACGCTTTTAGCTGCGTTATGTATATGCTTTCGTATATTTCTAAACCGGAGCACGAAATGGGCGATTTACTGAAGAACGTGATCCAGAGCGTGCGCGAGACGAACGTTAGCGAGGAAGATGAGATGAAGCAGATAATGCAAGCCTACTCCAAACATAGGCAGGTTAGCGCTCAGGAGTCTGTGGCACGAACATGCAGCTTACCGTTGAAGAAGTGTTCACGAAGTGTTGTGTTTCTACCGACGGATGATGACGCGCTAAAGATGAGTCTTCCCTTGAGCGTCCTACAAAATAAAAATCCCGATTCTGAGGATGTATGGATGTCAGGGATGATCGAGAAATACAGAGCAAGGCCTCTAACGCGTGACTTTGAGAAGATTTGTCTGGCAGATTTTGCTTCGGAGTACCGCATCGTGTACGGTCAACAAACAAAAGGCAAGAACGTTCACCGGCTGCTCAACGGCATGGGTTTTTTTCAGAAAAGAACTGGAAAGGCAGCAGTTATTAGGTATGCACGTTATTCGGAGGAAAAACAACCCGAAAAATTTTACTCTAGATTACTTAAGCTTTATATGCCACACCGGAGCAACGAACAGCTAAAACCGCCTAGATTTCCGACATATGAAGCATTTTACAAGAGTGCTAACGTGGAACTACCCTGGGCAAATCCTGGTTTGCTTTTCCCTGTCTGCGCCGTCGTCCAAGCACACAAGGAAAAATTCGAAAAACACAGCGACGAGGTGGATAAGGCGTACGATCAGCTGCAAGAGCAAGGGCCATCCGAAAACGCATGGACCGCTTTTGCACCTGAAATTGAAGTGGATCGTTTAGAGTGCGTCGCAGAACGACAAGACATCAATCCGGATGATGAGAGTGTAGAAGACGATGTCCCGGAATTTCAGATTCTTGAACACGGAGACGGAGTCGTGCCACAAATCGAGGCACCGCAGATGAGCGTTGAATTCATCAGGAGCTTGTTTAGGAGTCTAAACGAGACGCAGGCAGCCATATTCTACACGGTCTGCCAGTGGTGTCAGAAACGTGTGTGGGGTCATAATCCAGAACAGTTTTTCTACTTCGTGTCAGGTGGTGCTGGTTGTGGCAAATCACACGTCATCAAGTGCATATACACGGAAGCGACCAAGATTCTACGACAACTGCCTCGTCTGCGGGAGGAAGGAGATCTGTCCGTGCCTACGGTCCTCTTGAGTGCGTTTACTGGAACCGCAGCATTCAACATTTCTGGCAAAACGTTGCATTCCATTTTGAAACTTCCGAGGAATCTGAAGCCACCGTATCAAGGACTTGGAAACGCACTAGATGAGCTTCGAGCAACACTACGCGACGTGGAGATTCTAATCATCGATGAAGTGTCCATGATTTCGAAGGACCTTTTTGCTTACATAAACTGGAGATGTCAGCAAATCAAAGGCAGCAAGAAACCCTTCGGTGGAATCTCTGTCCTCGCCGTGGGAGATTTTTATCAACTGCCACCTCTGGGTAAAGCCAAACCACTCTGCGTGTATGAAGAGGATGTCCTGGACTTTTGGAAAGATCATTTCCAAATGATTACCCTCACCGAGATCATGCGTCAGAAAGAAGACCTGGCTTTTGCCCAACTTTTAAACCGCCTACGGGTAAAGCAGAAGACAGACGATCTTTCCGAAGAAGATAGAGCTTTGTTACTCCAGGCTGTGAAGGACCCCAACGACTGCCCGTGTGATGCACTGCACGTATTTGCCACCAACAAGGAAGTTCATGGACACAATACCAAAACAATCCATGCTCTTCACACCGACATCATAACCATCGATGCCGAAGACTACAGGAAAGACCCAAGAACAGGAGGAATGAAGAGACAAAAGAAGCCCATCACCGGAAAAAAGGACGACTTGCCTGACACCATACAAATTGCGTTGGGAGTACGCATAATGGTGACTAGGAACCTGGACGTCGAAGACGGATTGGTCAACGGTTGTTTCGGGAAAATTTCTTACATCGTCAAGAAGACAAAAGACGGAATCGACACCGTGCAAATGCTAGGACTTCAGCTCGACAATCCCAACGCAGGCAGGAAGAACCGCAGAAGGGTGCAAGGTGAAGAAGACGACTTGGTTTACATCGATAGATCCGAAGAACCTCTTAGAAAAGGAGCAGTTCGTCGACAATTCCCCATCAAGCTAGCCTACGCCTGCACAGCTCACAAAGTCCAAGGCATGACAATGGAGAATGCCGTGGTGTCGCTGAAGAAGATTTTCGAGCCCGGAATGGCCTACGTTGCCCTCAGCAGAACGACCTCGCTTCGTGGATTGCACATCACAGAGTTCGATGAGAAGAAGATCTATGCTGATCCTACAGTCACAGCCTCGTTGGAAAATATGACAAGAGCAACATTCGACGGAATCATGCCACTTTTGCAGCAGGTGAGGGAAAACAACATGGACCAAACACTCACCATCATTCATCACAACACAGAAGGACTGTCCTCCCATATTGAAGACATCAGATGCCATCATGAACTGCTGCTATCGGACATTCTTTGCATGACGGAAACTCACCTAACCGGATCGGTCATTACACCCCAAGTCCAATTAGAAGGATACAACGTGTTTCTGCGTAACAGACACGTCTCCTACTCGACACACCGAGAAATCGCGCAGAAAGCTGGCGGTGGAGTCGCAATATATTGCAAAGGGCATATTTCAGCTCAGCCTAGGCAGTTTATTCAAAATGTGACCGATCTGGAGTATGTCGTCATCAAAGTAGATAGCCCGATCAAAGCGACAATCGCTGCCGTGTACAGGCCTCCACACTACGGTTTTGAAGAGTTCTCGAAGAACTTGAAGAGTCTGCTGGATTATTTGGACATCGTGGACGAACATCCCGCAATAATCTGTGGAGATTTTAATGAGGATCACCTCTGCGCTGGGAATAAAACTGTTCTGGAACTGTTTCAGTCCAAAGGATACACACAACTGATCACCACAGCAACAACCAAAAAGAACACTCTATTGGATCACATTTACGTCTCTCATCCGGATTTGTGCCTTCAGTCAGGTGTCTTGCATACCTATCATAGCTATCACAATCCCGTGTACTGTGTTTTGCGTAAATGAGTTTTTTTTTAGTGGACAGATATTGTTGTGTTTGGTGCTAGGTTAGTATGCCATACGGAACCGTTTGCCACTGAAACTGCTTAACGCACCAGTGGGGCTTCGACAGCCTTATAAAACGAACGGTTGGGCGCGTATGGTCGGGTTGTCGGGTAGTATGCCATACGGAACCGTTGCCAATGGACCTGGATACATCACATCAGCGGGGCTTTGAAAGCCTTCATCAAACGGGTTGGCGCGTATGGTCGTGTTGTGGTTAGATTGTGGTGTTAGAGATTGTGATTAGGAGATTGCGGTTAGGTCATGCCAAGGGTTTATACCACTGAGCTACGAAGAAGGAGCACCCTCAGCAGCAGCAGGAAGGACGGAGGAGGAGTGTGACAGCTCCAGGGAGGACATAGACAGTCAGAGCGACAGTGGCAGTAAGTAATAAAAGACAAGGGACAGAGAGAAGTAGCAAGATGCCACTGTAATGTTTGATTTTGACCTTATAACATACATTTTAATTTCAATTGTTCAATCTACCCAATTTGTGCCAATCTGTGCGGGATATGCAGTCCCCTGCTATTCTATGACTGATATGTGCCCTTCTGTAAAGTTGCAGGAAGAATTGGGAGACCATAGCAGTCGTGTCTGGATATGAGTGTGCAATATACCTTCTAAAGCTAAGTGTTAAAAGATTTTATTTCAGTCTGTGTACCACTGCTTTTCATAACTGCGTTTGAATGGAAATGTTATATTTGAACCTCTAATTTTGATTTTTATGTTTTTTAGGAACCAGCCAAATGAAGTGAGATTGTCTGAGAAGATCACGTGTGCTACATCAATGACGATGACGAGCTGGATACCAGATTATGTGCCAATTTCTTTCCGTAAGCTTTTTGTTTTTTGTTGTTTTATTTCTGTTTATTAGTACGGGTGTTTTAGTGATCCCATTGTTCATTTATTCATTTCATACCCAGAGAAGAGGTCCAAATATCTACGGCATTGAAGACAACTCCGAAGAATGAAGAAGCAGAGGAAGAAGCACACTGAGGTCAATACTACTGATAAGGTGTAGTGTTTTAGTGCATTTTGTTATACAATGGTTTCAGGGTTTTTCCTGGGTCAAAAAATGTCTTTGTTGGTGGCCAACAGACACTGTTGTCCTATCTTGCTCTCTTATTAAAAAAAAGATTTTACCACTGGATTTCATAATTTTGTTATATAATCATATTGCTATTAAAAAGTTAAACTAAAAATAATTGCATCAAAAGGTTTCTTTTAACTAATAGTCTTAATTTTCTAGCATATTACCTAACAATTGAATAAAATTAACAGCTAGCTAACAACAATGTGCTTTATGATTTTAATCACTGCAGTATGAACTTTTTGACAATATTATTTATTTTAAAACTGCTGTTCAATGTTTATTCATGTTAGTTCACTGCATTTACTAATGTCAACACTTACAACTTTTGATTTGAACAATGTACCATATTAGTAAATGTAAAAATCACTAACAAAGATTAATAAATGCTAAAATAGTTAAAAATGCAGGAAAAGATGTATGATTTGGTGTAAAAAATAAAGGCTTACATCTGACCCATCAACTATGCTGCTCATTAAGTCTTGGAGAATCTGAACATTTCAAATAAATTTACTAACATTATCATATATGTTTTATCTCTCAGGATATCCAGGGAGACAGATGCGTGCCATTCAGCATAGAAACATCAGAGACACAGTTCACCTGAGCGCAGAGGGAAACCAGCTTCTCCTGAGCAAACCTGACAAATGTTCTGCGGGTGGAACTCCAAAGTTGAAACCAAATGCCTTTTTAAAGGCAACAACGGCTCTTCTCAGAGCTACCCACTCATTCAAAAACAAGAGCATTTTTACAAGTTTATCGATCTTTCTGATAAGGTCTAGTGTTCAGTGCATCTTATCATACAATGGTTTGTTTAAAAGCTTAGATTGTTTAAAAGTGTATGATCTCAGAGGTGAGAGTTCAAAAATTGTCTCTTGCGAGATACAAACTTTACGCTCCATACGTCTTGGAGAATCAGAAAATTCACTATTATTATAATATTTGTTTTACCTCCTCTACCTCAGGATATCCAGCCTGTTTGCAGGGCCAGTTCCAGTGGCTAGATGGCGGGAGATGCTCCATTACACCATATTGCATATCAACATTGGATGCACAATTAATTCATTTTAATATATTCATTAATGATTTTACTATCATATTAAATAATTGCTTACACACTCTATATATATATATATATATATATATATATATATATATATATTAATATATCATATATTTGCTTAAATAAAGTTATTATGTGTACGCCGAGCCAGAGGAGAATGGGCCCCCCCCTGACGAGTCTGGTTTCTCTCAAGGTTTTTTTTAATCTCCCTTAAGGAGGTTTTTTTTCCTTGCCACTGTCGCCACTGGCTTGCTCAATGGGGGTGTTGTGCCAGGTCCTATCCCTTCCAGGTCCCTACCGACCAGGGTTTCCAAAACAATGGTTTGCAAATTGATGGGTATGTTATTATTATTTAAATGTAAATGTTTACATACAAATGTAAATTAAATTAATTTGAAATCAAAATTAAATCATGTTATAGCTTAGCACTTAAAGCTGTGAGCCCTGTGAAGCCGTTGTATATAGTGATATCAGAACAGCTAACAGCGTTGTTCAAATATTCTGAGATCAGTGTAAATCATGACTTCACTGGAGTTATGAGATCATTCCTTTTTATAAATGCACGCAGCAATACACCAAATCATCGACAGTAAAACAGTTTTTTATTTAAAAGTTACTTTAGTGAGTAGAAATTTTTACCAGTATTCTGTTAAAATTAAAGTTTAGGGTTAGAAATGAGACAAGTGAAGAATTTAAAACAAGAATTTTGAAAAGTGAAGGATTTACAACATTATGTAAAATAAGTTATCAGATAAGCTTCTTTATCAAATATTAATTGTATTATTTGCCACAGAATGCATTTCTGTTTTTATTTTTATAATCTTAAAGATGATGCTGTAAAACTAATTTTAATATGAAGTAGATCTAACAATTATAATCTAATAACATCACAATAGGATCTAATCATTGGCTGGGTGGGATTTGGCACAACAGGCGTTTTTATAAATCTTGAATAAACATTTTGTTGAATTGGTTAATCCAGCATTTTTGTCTTTATTGAATTTTACACGTTAAGAGTATTTTCTTGTGAACTTCAGAGAAGACCAGGTATGATGGTAAGAGGGTCATTTAAAAGCTTACATTTAAAATGTCTTTATATTACAAATCAGTACCGCAACAATTATAGGGTATCAACAATCAATCAAAAGTTGTTTTAAAAGAATGACAACATACATTAGCCTCATAGCATAATTGCCTAAATCATGTTTATTTGAAATATGTTCAAGGCAATTAGGCTATGAGGCTAATGTATGTGTGTGTATGTATATAAGCAGATAGGTCTGCTCCAGTTTATGTTTCTTCACCGAAATTGCATAATTGGAGATATATCAATACATTTATACAGAATCATTATTTCTTTTGGTATTCCAATAAATCGTGACCTGATCAGCATTGTTGGCTTCGAGAGATCGCTGTTATGAGATGGTGTTGTATGGTATACTTTTTGTGTTTTTTATCATCACACAAACATTGTACAGACATGTTTGGTGTCTCGTATGCAATCATGTACCACACTCTAGCAACCGAGCGAGCTTTTTGCCACTGCAAGCACCACTTCACATTTTCCTCTGGAAATGTACATTCTAGTTAGTGGTGCTTGCAAAGCAACACTATTGTTATCCTCCATACTTATTATTCTTATTCTTATTTTCCTGGTCACTTTTTGACGCGCTACTCCTCCCGCAGCTTTTGTCACAGACCCATGAAAGTGGTATCAAAACGTGCGGCTTGTTCGGGAATGGTGTGCTATGACTTTTCTAAGAGATCGGGTGTACGATGTTCGCACAGCGGACGAAAAAGCGGCCAAAAATGTCCTAGTTCATTTCCTATGGGGAATTTTCAAAAATTCTAATCCCAACTGTCACTTTCTCACAGACACAAAAAGGGGCCTGACAGCCCTATTTTGACAGCTATTTCAGCCATTAAAACTTTAAAATGTTGAGAAATTTGTCAGCTATTAAACTTGTATTCAACTTTTTGATATCTATTATACTTTTTTCACAATCTCTACTTCAGTCTCATGATGTTTTTCAAGCCGTTTCTGAAATTATAATGGGAGTGAATGAGAGCGACTGTTCAGAGCTAGAGCACGTGATGTCATAAGCTAGAGTGAGCCAGCTTGAAAACTAATGCTAAAAAATAATTTTTAAATCGCTGGCCTGGCCACAATCTTCACTCTTTGGCCATGAAATTATACTTAAAACGTAGGTATTTTTGTTGTGCTTCCTCTCGTGTGTTTAGTAAATCCCTCGGACTTATAGTTTTTTCTCTGTGTCCTTCCAAACGACAGGAGTGACAGACATTCCTCCATTGGCAGCAATTATAAATTCAGGTCAAACTTTAGTAATCAGAGCATTACAGACCAGTTTTTTAACTTGCCAAAGTGGTCCCTTTTTTCAACTCTATCCACACAAAAAATACATCACAGCGTTCACAAAGGCCTTGTCTCGCTCACGGTCAGGTCATTTCGCTGATACAACCTATAGTTTTGTCTCTAGGGAGGTTTGTTCGAGGCCAAGTATCAGCGATTTTGACTAAACATTGGGGGATTTTCAAAAATTCAAATCCCAACTGTCACTTTCTCACAGACACAAAAGGGCCTGACAGCCCTGCTGTAGGGCAGACCTCTCTCTCTCCCTAGGAGGATTTAATTTATCAAGCAGCCAGTAAGTAATGGCCTAAAATCTTAATAGCCACACCATAGCAACCGGTTAAAGCACCCTAGCAACCGTGGGCAATAGGCACGAGGCCGCAGGCCTCGTGCCATACTAAATAACTCTATAAAAACTCTATAAAAATCATTTTAGAGACTAAATAGTAATCATCTGTTAAAAAATACACGCCGACATCACAGACCCCTGATTGAGGCGTCAAATTTTGCGGATTATTGAGGAGAGGTGTGCTGTGACTTTTCGTAGCGATCGGGGGTACGGTGTTCGCCCCAGGGGCAAATCATTGGGTAAAAAAGTCCCATAGACTTTTAGTGTTTTTCCTACTATGGTAAATTGCATAGGGATTTTGTATTGAACATAGCTCTGGATCACAGTGTCATAGAGACAAGGGGACGGGCTCATTTTACTCAGACGACCAATCAGTCTCTCAGGATCATTGTGAAGCTATTAAGCCACGCCCTAGCAACCATTTAGAGCACCTTAGCAACAACTCCCATAGACTTCCATTAAAAGAGATCAAAGGGATATCTCAGGATATAAGTGTCATAGAAACATGAGGGTGGGCTCGTTTGACTTGGGCCAGCAAACAGCCAATCATGAATCACCTCAACAATTTCTGGCCATGCCCTAGCAACCATTTTAGAGCACCTTAGCAACCAAAATCCAAAGAGGGATATCTTCCATTCTGAATGTCATAGAGGCATGGGAGTTGGTTTTTATCATTCATACTGACAAGCAGCCTTTGGAGTTTCATGATTGGCAGCTACCAAGCCACTCCCTAGCAACCAAACAGAGTACCCTAGCAACCATTTTGCAAGGCCTACATCTCTGCATCAAAACATCGTATAGAGATGGGGGTTGGTTCATACATTTACATTGACTTTGGAGTTTCATGATTGGCAGCTACCAAGCCACTCCCTAGCAACCAAACAGAGTACCCTAGCAACCATTTTGTAAGACCTACATCTCTGCAACAAAACATCGTATAGAGATGGGGGTTTGCCTTCTGTCAACTAGTGTTTAAATATAATCTCATACACTGTATAATCACACCATAGCAACCATATAGAGTACCCTAGTAACCACCTGAACACATGAATAAGCCATTTCTCCGCTGAATAAGCCATTTCTCATCACACAAACATTGTACAGACATGTTTGGTGTCTCGTATGCAATCATGTACCACACTCTAGCAACCGGGTGGTGAGTTTTGCCACTGCAAGCACCACTTCACATTTTCCTCTGGAAATGTACATTCTAGTGTTGTGAATACTATTCTCCAAGACAAAACTTTGGCATGCTACTCCTCCCGCATTTATTGTCGTAGATCCATGAATGTGGTGTCAAATCGACCTGGTCATTGAGGAGAGGTGTGCTATGACTTTTCTAAGCGATCGGTTGTACGATGTTCGTCTGGCGGGCGATAAATCGGACAGAAAAAGTCCCATAGACTTAACATTGGCACCAAATTTGTGAGATCATATCTTTTGAATAGAAGGTCATAGAGACTTGGGGTTGGGCTCATTTGACTCGGCCTATCATACAGCCAACAAGTAGTGACATAGTAACTTAATATTCACGCCCTAGCAACCACTTAGGGCAGCCTAGCAACCATAAAACAACATATACAAGCCATATCTCAGCTCCAGAAAATAGAAGAAACATGGATTTTGCCTTTTTTTGACTCAGACTGTCAACTAGTCTTTAAATATCAACTCATAAACTGTATAATCACACCATAGCAACCATATGGGGTACCCCAGTAACCCTACAAACACATGAATAAGACATGTCTCAGCTGAATAAACCATTTATCGTCACAAAAACATCGTACAGACGTGTTTGGTGTCTCGTATGCAAAAATGTGCCACACTCTAGCAACCGAGCGAGCTTTTTGCCACTGCAAGCACCACTTCACATTTTCCTCTGGAAATGTACATTCTAGTGTTGTGAATACTATTCTCCAAGACAAAACTTTGGCACGCTACTCCTCCCGCATTTACTGTCGTAGATCCATGAATGTGGTGTCAAATCGACCCGGTCATTGAGGAGAGGTGTGCTATGACTTTTCTAAGCGATCGGTTGTACGATGTTCGTCTGGCGGGCGATAAATCGGACAGAAAAAGTCCCATAGACTTAACATTGGCACCAAATTGGTGAGATCATATCTTTTGAACAGAAGGTCATAGAGACTTGGGGTTGGGCTCTTTTCACTCGGCCTATCATGCAGCCAACAAGTAGTGACATAATAACTTCATATACACGCCCTAGCAACCACTTAGGGCAGCCTAGCAACCATAAAACAACATATTCAAGCAATATCTCAGCTCCAGAAAATAGAAGAAACATGGATTTTACCTTTTTTGACTTAGACTGTCAACTAATCTTTAAATATCATCTCATACACTGTATAA